GAGCAGACCATGCAAAAGTTTTGAAGCAAAGTATGGATTATTATTGCAAACTTAATAAATACATTTATTACTGTTATTGCCAGAAGCACAGAGTGGGTAAAGCACAACAAATAACATTTGAAAAATTATATACTTTTTCAAAGAGATCTATTTTAGTGTTGGGTAAGTTTTGCACGTTATGCTTTGATAGGACACTACTCACAACTCACTGATGACAATATCTGGAAGCCAAAAGTTCTTCTTGGGAAGAGTAATCGTTTCTAGGCCACACTGAACCGGGTTCCACCTGGCAAACTCAATCATCCACCACTAGAAAAGGAAGAAAAGAGTAAATGTAATAGTATAAAAAGTGGTTTTATTAAAGTGATCCCTGTTCCATATAAGATAAAATAATAAATCAAATCTACCACTAAAGAGACTGAGTTTGATGACTCTTCTACTTACGTAGTGCAGCCAAATGTAAGTGATTAGAACTTGTGACTTTTCATCCTGGATGACAATAAGCATAAGACATTGTTGACTCACAACTGTTTAAAATGAGCTTTTTTAGTGTACTTTTTCAACATGGACATCACATGAAAAAAGCATGATGAGTAAATATGGAAATCTAAATTATAGAATCTCTTAAAATGAGTGTTGAATAATATCTTTAAAAACACTGAAGGTCAAATAAGAAAGAATACAGCTTTATAGGATGTAAAATTGAACATACCACTCCTAATATCCCGTAAAGAGTAAAGTAGACAGTGATGTTTGAGCACGTTGTTTGGTTCACAACTGGCCGTATGGCCTTCAGGTCAAAGACGGGGCCCAGAGCTGTAAGCAAGCCCTCTTGGTCTGCTTTGGAGCAGTTTACATTGAATGTGCTGCAAAAACCTGAGCAGGACAATTCATACGCATTGGTGAGACTTAATATGTAGAATATTCCCTCCGAACTGTAACATTAAGTCAAAAATAATAGTGATTTAATGGTTACAAATTGTTGATTAAATTGTCTCTGGTTCTAAACCATATCTTAAGAAATTATAGGTAAAAACATTATTTAAAAGCTCACCTCGCGTATTAAGAATCAGAATAACCACAGTGGTTGATGAAAGAAAACCCTAAGAAAGAGTTAATTACCTATTATTGGAGATTAAATTGATGTTAAAAAGAAGAAATGTGTAATGCAGTTTGCAGAAGGATAATGTAATATACCTTTAGCGTAGATTCCTTTGATGCCATGATGAGCGTGAAGGTGTTGAATTTTAGTAGCAGACAGGTGGACAAGTCTTCATCTAACTTGGCAAGCCGGAATAATAATGTGCAGCATTCGGGTTGTTTGTGAATTAAAAACTACCGCGAGAACTCAGCTTGCAGCTTGTGGGCTTCTTCGTGTTTTACCTATCATAGACTAAGAAGTCTCATACAAAGCAGAATTAGGTGACAGATGTCTATCCAAATAATGTTGTAGGGCTGAAATCCAGTGAAGAAGCTTTCATTTTTGAAAAATGATTTTCATACGATTCAAAGAAAAACCACAGTTAACATGATTCACCTCGATTTTAAACTTGCATACAGTCTGACCGCATGGCTATGAGACACACCTGCTGGTTATAAGCAAATAAACAGCAGATGGTTGGGTGGACGTGTTTGGTTTCTTGCCGATCTTTACTATATCTGCATAATCATTATTTCACCAATTTTTTGCATGTTATGTCATATATTTATTGGAAATAAACTGTATTTATGTTTGAAGCATTATTCATTTCTTCAATAATATGCAGCTTTCATATAGTGCATTGTAAGGGTACAGACCCCTTAGTGGGTCAAGAGGTCCTAAAGGCTTGGAAGGATAGTAATAGGAGCTGATAGCTTCCTTCCAACCAATTCAAGGCCTTGCACTTAAAAATTTCAGTATTTTTTCCTTAAATATGTCAAAATTTTTGCGACCTATTTTTGTTCTGGTGTTCAATTTTGTCAAAGTTGTTTTTTCAAACCATAAAAAAGATAAAAGAAAGAAAAAAAATTATGATGCAGTGATTAAAAACAGCAAACAGCATAAAGAAATATTAGGGCAACATGCACATGATGAATAAAAAGAAGCAAAACGAATATCATCTACACCGTCCAAAAGCAAAGTCATGTTCATGTGTTTGTTTGAATGTCTAAAGCAGGAGTTAGCACACGAGAAAAGACAAACTAGCGAAAACTGGAAAAGGAATAAGTCAGAAAGGGGAAACATACGGTTTCATACCATTGTATCTTTCAAACAAGGATTTTAAAGATCGACTGAAGTTAAAAACCTTTTACAGAGCTGTTAGGTACCATATTTTTCTATTACCAGTGTTGCAACATAGTCATATATTAGTGGAAATGTTTTCATTGTTTTAATGTATCATGATTGTCTCGGCCCAAAACTCATCTACTGATTTATATAAAAAAAACCTAAATGTAAGTATTGAAAAAAACATAAAAGACATATTAGATGAAAGTTGAATCACTGTCTTTATACATTAATAGTAAAATATCTTGTTGAATTAGACAGTTCATTAACCTTTTCTGAACTTATTGACTTCTGCAAAAAAAATTCCTGGACAATATTTGGGCAACACCACCCCTATCTAGATATTATGAGACATCTTTTTTTGTTATATCTGGTTTCATAATGGAAAGATGAAAGAAGATCAGATCAACATTTTATAGCTTTGGTGACCAAATTAGTTGAGGCTCTTCTATGAACATAGTCATAGTCATTCCAAAAAAAAGAAAATGAAAAACAATCCACTGGACTTTGTTTCCAATTTTGAAGATGTTTTGCTTCCTATCCAGGAAGCTTTTTTAATTCAAAATTAAATTGAATTGAAAAAGCTTCCAGGATTAATTTTTACTACAAATCAGACTTGCACAAAATGGAGGAGGGTGTTATCACTAATGTTTCTCTTTCCTCAAGCACAATAAAAAAGACAAAAGTGGAACGTTTCTTAGTGCTATAATCTCTAAATGATATATTATTAAAGTTCATTGAATTCAGTCCTAATATGAAGAAAGATAATACACACATTTAAATAGAATCCAGGGCACTGTTTATTTGCTACTGGAATCTTTTAAATTAAAATAATAAAATATTTCTGAAGGACGATAGGTGAATTGTCATTTTTCATGATAAGATTGAAAAAAAGGCTTTTGCTTATAACTAATTGCCCGATTTTCAAATTTCTTGCAAACCAACAGAAGAGACTGTTTTCTTTTCACAATTAAATGTTTTATTTCATGTTCCACCACGTTAGAATACCATAACACCAAAATGAATCCAAAACAATTACAATATGTTTGCACAAAATTATTATATCTTTTTTTTTTTTATTGTGCATCTTTTTAAAACGGTGTAATAAGAAACTTATTTCAGATCTGTTCTTAATATTAAACGTTGATTTATTCTCATGCTTGAAAGCCAGTTTACCAAAATGACAAATCAGTTAGAAATACCTTTTCATCAAAACCTACTGAGACCAGGGACGGACCTTAGGCAAAACTAGGCAGTTGCCTAGGTCCAAAGTTCCTGGGGGCCCCATAAAACTTTAATTAATTAATACAACTATTCCTTATTTGTGCACATTAATAAAGTTTTTGATAAATGTCAATTCGCTTAAATGCAATCAGAACGCTTATAACATTAAGTGTGTCTGGCATGCAGTGTGGAACTAAACAGCTGAATTATATGTATTTTATTTACTTGCTTCTTTCTGCAAAAGCTAATACTCTTAAAATTCTCATAAGTTTTCCCTTCCAGCTATCTCCTGCACTGCTTTGCCAGACCAAAAAAAAAAAAATAAAAGCTATCGCAGGGATTCTACAGCTGGATCATCTAATGCCTTATAGCACCTTTTAGGAGAGACAATAGCGGCCTTTCTTGCTGGGGAGTAGGCAATACTGGGGAAGATATGAGAGGGGCAGAGAAGAGAAGCTACTGATTAAAAATTCTAAATTTTGAGAAAAAAGAGTCTTTAAAAATATGAAAAAACTTATAATTAATTTGAAATTGGTGTGTCTCATTTATGTAATTTAGTAGCAGTTGGTCTCCAGGCAAGGGATTTATTTATTTATTTATTTGTATTTCTCACGCGTGCGTAGTTCGGAAATGTGTTGATGATCCCTAGAAGAGGGAGTATCAGAGAACGGTTGGCTGAAGTCTGAGCTCCTGAGTTGGATTGACGAAGCTTGAATACCGGTATCTAGCTTATAACTAACTTTGCTGCAGCAATTCATGACAGATTTCTGAAGCAGTCTTAGAGTTCACAAAGTTCTTGTTCTCAGCACATTGCATATGGCTGAGTTCTTTCTATCTTGTGGCATTTTAAAACAACTTTGTCAAGAAGAGCCAGCACCATTGCAGCCATGTAAATTTCTGTAGGCAACTGTTAGGACAGCTCAGTGACAGACTAGGGGGATATTTCATAATTCCGATATTATAAAAATATAGTTTTGAGAAGTTCAAATTAGGTGAAATATCTTGATTATAATTCCGGATATGTGAAACTTTAAATGACAAATCAGATGACCTCATTTGAGATATCTTAAAATGCATTTTAAATATCCATGATTTAAGATATCTTGAATTGTTAGTTTTCCTTAGACATAATATAAAAATATAAAACGTCATTAAGGGCAGTCAAAATAATCTTTTTCTGTTCTATTGAAATTTCTGTATCTCTATAATGGGTCTGTATAATGAGTTATCTTCTCATTTCAGAGGGCCCCCTGCCTGTCTTTGCCTAGGGCCCCAAATTTCCTAAATCCGCCCCTGTTTGATACACATTTAGTTTTAACTCAAATACTACATAGACATTTCATATCTCATACCAAAACATTAATCTAGAATTGATAAATTATCACAGTTTTATGTAAGTACAAATCAACATGGATTTAATACATGGAATAACAAACACTGAAATATGAATATATAGAGGGAAAGAAAGATACATTTTGCAGATGATTTCCATAACTTTATCTATATTAGCTCATTCTTTGGCACAGACGTTGAATTTGCATCCCTCACAATGATCAGGCTCATGGGCACTCCTGACATGAAACTGCTCGAATGCCCTGTTTAGCTCTTCAATGTCTTCTTTGTAGCAATTTCTTCTTACTTTCTGCACTAGGTTCTCCATCAGGACACGAATGTTGTCTTGCTTGACCAATGGCTCCAACATCGGTGCACTTTTACATTTCTTGCAGTTTTGACGTAAAGGCCTGACCTTGACAGTGCCCTGCCTACTCATTAGGCGCATGTGGAAAACCACCATGACCTGGTTTGAAGGCCAAGTTCTTGTACATGAGGTGCAGCTGAATCTAAAACAAAAACAATTATAGATAACATCTAATATTCAGTTTTATTTTATAGTACACAATCATACGATATTCATTCTGCTATATTTATATACATACATCGTATTTTTTCTTCCAAATTTATTTACTTTGGCAGAGCACAAAGGTAAAACTATTTGTTAAGCACATTGCTCTTACTATAATACAGTATTTCTTATTATTTTTAAAGCAAAGGTTATTTTTCAACTGTCTTATCTTTGACACGAAGCTATAACTGTTATTGCACTTTCTTTACATGGTTTATATCAAAGTTATAAACATTTCAAAGATGTCCATTAACCATTATTTGCTTCTACTTGGCCTAAAGGTTGAATTTCTGGGTGAAGATACATAAAATATTTGGAATCAGTGAGATTTTAAATAAAGGAAAATGTAAGCACACTTCTGCTAACAAGCAGGACAAACTACCTGAATACCGGAATATGTTCTAAAAACAATTGTTAATAACAGAAGAAAAACATTTCCATAAATTACAATAAATTTGCCACTCCCTGGATGTCGATGTGCCTGACACTTTCATTTGCATTCAGTGGAATGGAAATTAGGAAAGACCCGTAGAAGTTCATGGCATTTCAATTCTTAGCAGAGAAGATAGCAAACTGCGTCCAGTACTGACCTTGCACTTGTTTTCCTGATGTACTCCTTCCAGCGAGAGTCTGGTTTCTCCGGCTCAATACTTTCATCAAACTCCAGATGCCAAGTGTCTCCTTTATCATTTAGAATTGCGATTTCTTCATCAAAGATGCTTGACCAATCCTCCTTGTTCATCTTTTAAATGTGGTGACACTGTTGGTTAAAGAATAATAAGAGCTCTAACAGCTGATCTTCAGATCTGTCAACCAGCTTGTGGCTGTGATGCAGCAACCAAAGGAAGGGTTGTGGCACTCAGGAAAGTGAAACCTAAAAGTGGACAACAACTCCACCTTAGGTTTAGGTCAGAGTTTAATCAGGTGATTATTTTATTGAGGCTATAATCAATACTGAGAGAACCTCTGACACCGACTGATATGTGCAATAACCACTGTGCTCGTCATAATGCACTGCACTGGTAGAGCACAATTCAACATTTTAAATTACTTACTGCAAAAATATATGTATTTACTAAGAAATATTCCAGGTGTATTTTTAGTAAAATATCTTATAGATATGGGTGTCTGAAAAAAAAAAATCATGATTTATTATCCAATTCATACTTAGACACATTTTATTTTCATTTTGTATACAAAACGAAATTTTGCTTATACAACTTTCCGACAGTTAATTATTTATTTTTTGTGTGCAGCAGCTTAGCAATGAAAAATAAAGTGCAATAAAGTGCATCACTGATCATAATGTAAACAGTGTGGGAGAGATATGGTGCAAAAAGGCACTGACGTGGGAGGTTCAGAGCAGTGCAAAATAGATAAATAGATAAGGCGCAAAATACAGTAAAAACATTTGAGTTGAGTTCTATTTTCACCATATAGTGCAAGTATGATGTTATCAGTTGGATGCAGAGTCTCGATTTGTGACTTGATTTAGAGTTTCTTCAACAGTTCAACAGTTTTATGGCAGTGGGGAAAAAGCTACAGAACCTGCTGGTCCTGCATCAAATGCTGTGAAGCCTCTTCAGAGAGCGCAGCATGGAGAACTATCCATGGTGGGGTTGAGGAGCCCCATTGATCCTCTGCTGTTTTCACCACTCTTCATTTTCTTCCAATCTGCAGCGCTGCAGCCTCCACACCACACAGTGAGACAGCTGTTCAGAACGCTGTCTATGGTGTTTTCTGTAGAAGCTTTTAAGGATGGGTGGGGGCAGGTGGGCTCCCCTCATCCTCCACAGGAATTACAACCCCTTCTTTGCCCTTTTGACCAGTGAGGAGGTGTTTGTATTCCAGGTGAGGTTGTCTGTGATGTGCACACACTGGAATTTGGTGCTGCTGACCACCTCTACAATTCAAAGTGTGCAGATTAATGGTAATAAATAATAAAATGTAGATATTATTTACTTTAAAATGTAATATGTTTTGAAAGTGATAAATTGAAAAATCCTGCTTTTATGAAGCCTCTAGTTATTAATACAGAGAAAAATTATCGCCAGGAATGTTATTTGACAAAACTCTGAAAGGTTTAGCATGACTATACATCCTTCCTTCTTAAACTCTCAAAGCCACAAAAAAAACCCAGCTTAGCACATAGCTTTAATTGTATAATGAACATTCAACTTTTCTTAATTTTGTCTAATTAATTAAATTAATCCAGCTTTTATGCAAAGGCCTCAGAGGATTATTAAGGCATTAGTGAATACAGCAGACAGGTTGGGTACAAGTGTTTGGTTACTTGCCAATTTGTACTTTTCCTGCATAATCATTATATGAACCAAGTTTTTGCATGTTATGTCATACATTTATTTGAAATAATCTGAATTTATGTTTGAAGCATGATTCATTTCTTTAACATACAGCTTTCATATAATGCCTGCGAGCAAAGCTTTTCATTGTAAGGTTACAGAACCCTCTATGGGTCAAGAGGTCCAAAAGGCTTGGAAGGATAGTCACAAGGGCAAAGCTGAACCTTTTTTTTTTTAAGTAAAATACAGATAAAAGAAAGAAAGAATAATGATGCAGAGAATAAAAAAAGCAAATGGAATAGAGACTTTAGGGCTAAATGCAACATGCAAATTACTAAAAAGAAGCAAAACAAATATCATCTACAGTTTGAAAGCAAAGTCAAGCTACAGTAATATGTTTGTTTGAATGTCTAAAGAAGGCATTGGCACAAAAGAAAAGAAAAACTAGAGCAAACTGAAAAATATTTAGATTTTTTTCTTCCAATAATATTAATTAAAAAAAAATTCAAAAACTGATTTGTGTGTTTGCTTTTATTGCCAAAAATGTTTAATGTTCTGAGACACATATGTTTGACAAAAATGGAATAAGTCGTGAAGGCGAAAAATAAAGTTTAATATCATTTTACCTTTTAAATAAGGAATATAAAGACCGACTGAAGATAAAAACCTGTACAGAGCTGTTGGGTACATTATTTTTCTATTACCAGTGCAAAAGTTGTAACATAGTCATATATTAGTAGAAATTGTATTCATTGTTTAATTTAAATATATCATGATTATCTCTGCCCAAAACTCAATCTACGGATTTATATAAAATAACCCCCTAAATGAAAGTAGAGAAAAAATTAAGTATAATATATAAATATAACAGTCATGCATTCTTTATACATTATAGCAAATTATCTTGTTTAATTATACAGTTCATTAACCTTTTATGAACTTATTGACCTCTGCAAAAAAAAAAAAAAAAAAAAAAAGGGACCTGCACCATATTTTGGCAACACCACTCCTATCTAGATGTTATTTTGGGGACCAAATTAGTTGAGGCTCTTCTATGAACTGATGAAGTGACCCACGTCTGATGGAAAGGATTAGTTTTTACTCCAAATCAGAATTGCACAAAATGAAAGAGGCTGTGATCATTATTGTTTCTCTTTTGGATTACATCCCATGAAGAAACTTCACTCAAGCAAAACAGAAAAGACAAAACTGAAATATTTTTTAGTGCAATAATCTCAATATGATATATGGTATCATTAAAGTTCAATATTTTATTGTCAAATAAAACTTTTTTTCTTTCAGTCTTATTTTGAAGAAAAATAATACATACATTTCCAGAGAATCAAGGACACTGTTTATTTGCTACTGGAATCTTATAATTAAAATTATAAATAATATTTGAAGGACAAACCGGGGAATTGTAATTTTGGTACAATAAATATATTATATAGTAAAAGTGAAAAGAGGCTTTTGCTCACAATTTCTGGCAAACAGACAGAAGTGACTGTTTCCTTTTTTACAATCAAATATTTTATTTCATTATCCACCGAGTTAGAACACCATAATGCAAAAATGCATCAAAAAAAAAAAAAAAACTATATATGTTTGCACAAAACTATGACATCTTTTTAAAAATTGTGCATCTTTTTAAAATACTGTAATAACATACTTTTTTCAGCTCAGTTCTTAAAGTTAAACTTAGAAAATGTATATATTCTTATGTTTAAAGGCCAGTTTACCACAATAACAAATCAGTTAGAGGTACCTTTTCATCAAATCCTATTAAGACACATTTACTTTGAATTGAAATAATACATATACATTTTATATCTCATTATTAATGAAAGCAGTTTCATGTAATAACCAATAAATATAGATTTAACACCCACAATAACAAAACACAGAAGTATAAACATAGAGAGAGAAAGAAAGAGGCATTTTGTAGATAATTTCAATAACTTTATCATTATTAGCTCAATCTCTGGTACAGATTCCTAACCTGCATCCCTCACAATGTTTAGGCTCATGGGGACTCTTGACATCAAGGCTGTTGGACCTCCTGTTTGGCTCTCCGATGTCTTCATGGTAGCAATTTCTTCTAACTTTCTGGACTAGGTTCTCCATCAGGATACGAATGTTTTCTGGCTCAACCAATGGCTTCACCATCGCTGCGCTGGTACATCTCTTGCATTCTTGACGTGCAGGCCTGACCTTGACAGTGCCTTGCCCACCCATTAGGCGCATGTGGAAAATCACCATGACCCGGTTTGAAGGCCAAGTTCTCCTACATGAGGTGCAGCTGAATCTAAGACAAATAAAAACACAATTCTGTTTAAAATGTACTTTTGTATTTTATATTATATTACAGAATCAAAGAATCAGTGTTGCTTCCTAAGTTTCGAGGTAGATTTCACAGAAGTTTGAATTAATTGAAGTTATATTGTGTTGTTTATGTGTTCCCTTTATTTTTATCTGTCTGTCTGTCTGTCTGTCTGTCTGTCTGTCTGTCTATCTATTTATATAGATATACAGTACAGAAGGTAAGACAATTTGTTAATCACACCACCGTTACTGTAATACAGTATTTCTTATGATTTTTGACACTTTTTTGGGGTTATTTTTCAGTTATTTTATTTTTGACACGAAGCTATAAATGTTATTGTTCTTTGTTTACATGGTATATATCAAAATTAAATAAATGTTCAGGAGCTTGTGGTTGTTGTATCTTGTTTTAATTGTGTTCAGTATCCACTAATTGCGTCTACTCGAAATATAGGTTCAATTTCTGAGTGAAAATACACACATACATTTTGCTATATAGTAAATGAAAGTCTATGCACACTTCTGTCAACAAGCAGGACTTTAAACTATCTTAATGTGGGGATCTGTTCTACAAAAAAATGGTTATAACAAAAGAAAAAACGATTAGCAATAAATATACCACACCCCCGGATGTATCACAGATCTGACACCAAAAAATGGTAATGGAAAAAAGATCTGAGATAAATACATCACCCCCTGGATGTAGATCTCAGATCTGACACATTCAATGTACATCAAGTATACTGTATAGAAATAAGAAATTATCAATAGAAGTTCATGGCATTTTAATGCTTAGCAGAGTAGATAGAAAACTGCAGTCCAGTACTGACCTTGCAGTTGTTTTCCTGAAGTATTTCGTCCAGCCATAGTCTGGATTATTGGGCTCAATACTTTCATCAAACACCAGATTCCAAGTGTCTCCTTTACCACTTAGAATTGCAATTTGATCATCAAAGATGCGTGTCCAATCCTGCTGGTTCATCTTTTAAAAACAGATGAGACTGTTGGTTGAAGAAGAGTAAAAGCTCTAACAGCTGATCTTCAGATCTGTCAAACAGCTTGTGGCTGTGATGCATCATCAAGCAAAGGAAGGGCTGTGGCACTCAGGAAAGTGAAACCTAAAAGTGGACAACAACACCGCCTTAGGTTTCAGTAAGAGCTTAATCAGGCCATCATTTGCTTGAGGCAGAAACAAAACTGAAAGCTATCACTATAACTGAGAGAAACTCTGACATCTGCTGGTAAGTTCAATAACCACTGTGCTGGTCTTAATGCAGTGCACTAAAATAAACTGTAAGCAAGTAGTGCACAATTAATCGTTTTAAACAACTTATAATCTGACATGCGAATTACCCAGAAAATGTAAAAATATATTTTTAGTAAAATATTCTATAGACATGGGCGTCTGAAAGCAGTTTCTTTTCTGATAGCAAGGTGATATTTCCTTTTATGTACTGATCCTGCCGTTACAAAGCCTCTATTAATACAGAGAAAATGATTCTCAGGATTGTTATTTCATAAATAAAACTCCAGGCTGGGAGTCTTTCTGCATGGAGTTTGCATGTTCTCCCTGTGAATGGGTTCTCTCTGGGTACTCCGGCTTCCTCCCACAGTCCAAAAACATGAATATTAGGTTGATTGGCTTCTCTAAATTCTCTTTATGTGTGAGTATGTGTGTAAATGGTTGTTTGTCCTGTTTGTCTCTGTGTCACCCTGTGATGGACTGGTGAACTGTCCAGGGTGAACCCCGCCTCTCAACCATTGACAGCTGGAGATAGACACCAGCACCCCTCGAGATGCCAGCATGGATAAGCGTGACGGAAAATGGATTTATGGGTGGATGGAAAGGTTTGGCATGACTGTATTTCCTGCCCTCTCTAACTCTCAATGCTTCAAATAAAACCAGTCTAACAAGTTGCTTTCAGTTGTCTAATGAGCAATAACCCTTTGTTTAACTTGTTTAAGTATTAATCCAACTTTTCTGTAATGGCCACAGAGGTTTGTTAAGGCATTAGTGAACTAAAAGGGTATCAAAAACCAAGAAATACAGCAGACAAGTTGGTTTGGGTTGTGGAAAAGTTTCAAGCAGGGTTGGATCGTAAAACAATCGAGGTAAAAATATCCCATATTTAAAAAGGAATAAGTGGGACAGACACAAACCAGTAAGCCAGAACAATCTACCTAAACCCACATGAATGACAAAGACAATGTCAATCATGAAAGCAGACACAATAATTATTTATTTTATTTTTATTATTATTATTTTATTCTCTTTATGTACAGAACTGGTGAAAAATGCTATGATAGACTTACAGCTGTAATTTAAATGAAAACATTTTGAAATATTTACTCAGGAAACTATTTACGCAGAATACTTAATCATGCCATTCCTCCCATATTAACTACTAAAATGACAATAAAAAGAGAGATGTAAGCATATCCTTTAATATGTCAGTGATAATACATTGAAAATATTTTTCCAGCAGTGCTCTACAATTTGAAATTTATAGGCTTTACATTCACACAAACGTTTTTAAATTGGAGTTATTTTACTTTTTTTAATGCGAACTGATCGCACAGGGAAGGTGGTCAACATAACGTTTATATGTGCTCTTAATTTGAAACCGAAAGTGGACGTGGAACGTTTCAAAAACAAACAGACCACTAATCCCAGTGTTTGACAGACTGCCAAACATTTTTATATTTCCTGGATTTTAGTCTGACTATCTTGATGTCACAATGTTAGTTTATTGTGATCAAAACATTTTATATTCATTGAAACTTTTTTTAGTATAAAATATATTTAATATTATATTTTTTAATGATTTTTAATTCTGAGAAATGTTATATTAAATAAATTGTTTCTCATATAATTCCCACTTTTATTTCATAACTTTTCTTTTTTTTTTGTGTATTTTTTATTTTTATTTTTTTATTTCATCATATTACAGCCCCCAAAAAATCCTGTGTTTTATAATGACAGCACGTAATTCTCACTAAGACATAAAAGCCCACAGAATTAGTTATGGTGGGAGAAAAATATTTTACACTAATTAGTACTAACTGCCTGATTTTCACATTTTTTGTAAACAGACAGAAGTGACTTTTTCCTTTTTACAATCAAATGTTTTATTTCATGTTACACCAAGTTAGAACACTATAACACCAAAATTAACCAAAAACAATTATTATATATGTTTGGACAAAATTATCACATCTTTTTTTTTTGAAAAGGTACATCCTTTTAAAACTGTGTAATAAGATACTTTTTTCAGACCCATTCGTAATGTTAAACATTTATCTATTCTCATATTTAAAAGCCAGTTTACCACAATAACTAATCAGTTAGAAATACCTTTTCATGAAAACCTATTGAGACACATTAAGTTTGAATTCAAATAGTACATAGACATTTTATATCTCATGCTGAAACATTCATATACAATTTATAAATGAATGTATTCTTATGCAAGAACAAATGAACATGGATTTAATAAACTGAATGACAAACACAAAAGTATGAATATAGAGAGAGAAAGAAAGAGGCATTTTGTAGAAGATTTTATAGCTTTATCATTATTAGCTCAATCTCTGTCACAGACTCCTAGCCTGCATCCCTCACAATGATCAGGCTCATGAGGACTCTTGACATCAACGGCGTTGAACACCCTGTTTGGCTCTTCGATTTCTTCATGGTAGCAATTTCTTCTAACTTTCTTCACCAGGTTCGTCATGAGGATATGAATGTTGTCTGGCTCAACCAATGGCTTCACCATCGCTGCAGTGGGACAACTGTTGCATTCTTGACGTAAAGGCCTCACCTTGACAGTGCCCTGCCCACCAATTAGGCGCATGTGGAAAATAACCATGACCCGGTTTGAAGGCCAAGTTCTCCTACATGAGGTGCAGCTGAATCTAAAACAAATAAAAAGACAATTCAGCTTAAAATGTAGTACTGTATTTTATATTATAGTACAAAATCAAATATTATTATATAAATTCAATTAAATCCAACTTCTTTGAAATCAAACTTAGAAAGCAATGCTGTTACAATGCGGTTACTGTATTACAGTCATGGCAGTGCTTAACAAATTTTCTTAATATATATATATATATATATATATATATATATTATATATATATATATATATATATATATATATATATATATATATATATATATATATATATATATATATATATATATATATATATATATATATATATATATATATATAAAGTTCTATATATATATTGTTATTCTTTCATACATTATTTCTTATGATTTTGAAAGATTTGGGTTATTTTTCAGCTGCATTATCTTTGACAAGAAGCAATAACTGTTATTGTACTTGGTTTGCATGGTTTATATCAACATTATGTATATTTCAAGGAGCTTGTGGCTGTCGGATCTTAGTTTAAATGTATTCGGTATCCAAGGTTTGCTTCTACTTGACCTATAGGTTGAATTTTTGAGTCAAAATACACAAATGATTTTGATTCAGATATATTTTCCAATATAGTAAAGGAAAGTCTATGCACACTTCTGCCAACAAGCAGGACTTGGACTACCTTGATACAGGAATCTGTTCTACCAAAAAAATGGTAATGGAAAAAAGATCTGAAATAAATATATCACCCCCTGGATGTAGATCTCAGATCTGACATATTCAATATACATCAAGTATGTAGAATTTAGGAAAGACAAATAGAAGTTTGTTGCGTTTCAATGCTTAGCAGAGTAGATAGCAAACTGCAGTCCAGTACTGACCTTGCACTTGTTTTCCTGAAGTATTTCGTCCAGCCATAGTCTGGATTATTGGGCTCAATACTTTCATCAAACAACAGATTCCAAGTGTCTCCTTTACCACTTAGAATTGCCATTTCTTCATCAAAGATGCGTGTCCAATCCTGCTGGTTCATCTTTAAAAAGCAGATGAGACTGTTGGTTGAAGAAGAGTAAAAGCTCTAACAGCTGATCTTCAGATCTGTCAACCAGCTTGTGGCTGTGACACATCATCAAACAAAGGAAGGGTTGTGGCACTCAGGAAAGTGAAACCTAAAAGTTGACAAAACACAGCCATAGGTTTCGGTCAGAGTTTAATAAGGTGATTATTTTATTGAGTCAGAAACAAAACTGAATGCTATCATTAATACTGAGATAAACTCTGAGAACTGTCTGTACGTGCAATAAGCACTGTGCTTGTCTTAATGCAGTGCACTCAAATAAACTGTAAGCAAGTAGAGCACAATTCAACATTTTAAACAACTTATAATCAAATATATACATATTTACCCAGAAAACTTAAAAATACGTTCTCAGTAATATATATTATATAGATATGGGTGTTTGGAATCAATATAAATATACAGATACTAAAAAACAAAAAATATAGATTCTGTTTTCTTTTATGCACTGATCCTGCTGTTACAAAGCCTCTAGTTATTAATACACAGAAAATGATTATCTGGATTGTTATTTCATAAATAAAACTCTGAAAGGTTTGGCATGGCTGTACATCGTGCCCTCTCTAACTCTCAAAGGCTTAAATAAAACCAGTTTAACATGCAGCTATCAGTAGTCTAATGAGCGATTACCTTTTGTTTAACTTGTTTAAGTATTAATCCAGCTTTTCTGTAATGACCTCAGATGTTTGTTAAAGCATTAGTGAACTAAAAGGGTATCAAAAACCAAGAAATACAGCAGACAAGTTGGTTTGGCGTGTGGAAAAGTTTTAAGCAGGGTTGGAACAATCGAGGTAAAATATCCCATATTTGAAAAGGAATGAGTGGGTCAGACACAAACCAGTATGCCAGGACCATCTACCTACACCCACATGAATGACAAAGACAATATCAATCATGAAAGCAGACACAATAATTTTTAATTTAATTTTTTATTATTATTATTTTATTCTCTTTATGTGCTGAGCTGGTGGAAAAATTCTACTTACAGCTGTAATTTCAATGAAAACATTTTGAAATATTTACTCAGGAAACTATTTAACCAGAATACTTAATGATGCCATTCCTCCCATATTAACTACTAAAATTACAATAAAAAGAGATATGTAAGCATATCCTTTATTATGTCAGTCATCTGAAAATACACTCAAAATATTTTCCAATAGTGTTCTACAACTTGAAAGCTATAGGCTTTACATTCACAAAACGTTTTTATATTGGAGTAATTTTACTCTTTTAATGCGAACTGATCGCATAGGGAAGGTGTTCACCATAACGTTTATATGTGCTCTTAATTTGAAACCGGAAGTAGACGTGGAACGTTTCTATAGTAACTGATATATATATATGTGCTCTTAATTTGAAACCGGAAGTGGACGTGGAACGTTTCCATAGTAACCGAAACAATCCTGTAGGTTAGCTTCTGGGCAAATTTACCTGTTTTTATTTTAGTTGTGGTGAAGCAAATTGTTTCCATTAGACATGGTGGAGGTGGAGGGTTCAGATTCATACCTGATACGACCGAACCATCAGCACAAGTAAGTTTGCTCTAAAAGTTTTACGATTTCTTCTTCTTTGTCAGTTTTGCTAGCGAGATTATTGCTAACGAAAGCGCTAATGTTCGAGTATCTCATTTAGCTCACCGCTAAATGTAAGGTTTCAGTAAATTCTATATATAAAAATGTATGGCTAATTATCTAACGCTTGTCATTTGATTATGAATGTTTTATTTGTTTTACAAATATTTTTGCATTTACTTTGTTTTTATTTCTCTTGTATTATCTAATTCATGTAGTGCACTACTGCAGTAAAGTTGGCAATATATTCACAGATTCGGCTTTTCCTAATTTTTGCTCGTCGGCGGATGATTTATTCTATAAAACAGACACCTCTTCGCAACCACAGCAAGACAGACAGTGAGCTACAACCATAGTTTCCTGAAAACAGTTCTCCTATCACGCTGGGAGAATTGGACCCTATCCACTTAGGGACCGTCTGCAAGTTGCAAGATAACCAGAGAGAAATATTCAAAAGCGTCACCAAGGAGTGGTGGATTACTATCAAATTAATTTAATGTGTATCTCTTGTATCTCATACCACAATTATTGGATTCGAAAAGAATACTTTTTTTGAGTTATTTCCCAAAGCCCAAATGACAAATGCTGACTCTATTTTATTGATAGAATAAGAATAAAATGAGCAATGACTACCATATAGATCATTCCAGTGCCTCCAAACTTGTAGGATACATAGATAACTTCATCTGGATCATACTGCAACACTTACCTTGGGAAAATATGCTATACGTTTATTTTTTGAGATTTTTTAATTGTTCTTATAAGCAAATAATTATCAATAACTGCACTATTATGAACTGTACCTTCACTAAAACCACTGTACACATGATTCACACCCTACTAGTGATACTACAACTGTTATTATATCAAATACTTTTTCATATTTTTGGGGAATTTGTCACTCAAACTAAGTGGTCATAAGATATTAATTCTGAACTATTAAATAACATTTAATATGTTTTGAATTATGTAAAAAAAATATTTATAAATAAATAAATAGGGCAAAATAAACAGGTCTGGAGTATTTACTTTTCTTTTTGCCAGGCTTCTACTTAATGTTAACCCAATCTTCCTTTACAAGTCTATTCCGAAGCATCTTGAAGTCTATAGGACAAAAGGAACAGAATTTTTGGTTTACATTTTCACAGACTCTATGGCCATTTATTTTTATATCTTTCTGTACATTAGGTAATAAATAATTGTAAATTTAGATGAAAAACAGATTAAGGTAATTGGTTACCTTTGTATACAAGATTGTTCTTTTCTTTTAGAGTTTACGACAGAGTAAAAATAAAAACAGGTTCCTGTGCATTTCAAAAGGGTACTACTACTGTATTATTATGGCAGTAGTGAAATTCAATACACCTAAACGCTCTTATTTCTAATAAGAGTCTGCCAAACTTACCAACAGCCTCGTCACTTAGGGCTGTTGCACAACTCACAATGCCAAGGGGTAACTTCATTAGGGATTTGTGCTGCTGTTATTCCAAGGCACTGCGTGTGAAATCATCTTGTGCAAGTTCCACACTGAATCTACATTGGGATAAAAACATTAAACATATTTTAAAAAGTTGACATTAGCAAATCTGTAATGCATAAGATTATACAAGATTTGATTACTATAGTATTATCGCAGGAATTTCAAGATTATCCACTATCATCCACTGATGTTTTCAAACAATTAAAGAGATTTCAGTAAGATTGCAGTAAGTCCTTATTTCCACAGAAGGAACAGAAGTCATCCTTTGCCACTAAAAATATTTAAGCTATATTACTGTAATGTTTGTAGGAAGTTGTCAACATAATAATGGGATATTCTGAACAATATCTGATCCTCTCAGAATTTCTCTTCTTAGATTTTGAAGAGATTTTGTTAGACGACTCAATGCAAGTTTTTATCAGCATGGTATTTTTATATTTAAATAAGTGGAATGTAGTTCAGTTTTATTGTCCGTCATATTTTAGCGTGAAAAAATGGGCATACTGAGTGTGTGTGTATGAAGACACTGACATCCGTGAGTCTCACACCCATGCCCTGTTATGCATTATGCAAAGTTGAAAAACACTTAATTTAATCATTATGCAACAGCTATATGCATAGTAATATAAAGATAAAAGAGGACTTACAAATAACCAAGGAAAGACTGTGCAGGTAAACTGGCTAAGTACCCCAAAGGCAAAAATATGTCATTCTCTATAGCAGTGTTTTTCAACCCTGGCCCTCAAGGCACACTGTTCTGCATGTTTTGGATGTTTATGAGCTTCAGTACATCTGATTCAGATGATTACAGTTCAGCAAAGCCTGATAAGCTGCTATCAATTGATAACATGTGTGTGAAAGCTGGCAAACATATAAAAAATGCAGGGCAGTGTGGCTTGAGGACCAGGGTTGAAAAACACTGCTCTATAGGTCTTACAGTAAAGACTTAAATCTGCTCTTGCAAGTAGAGCTTAAATGACTGTAGCTCCTTTAAATATGCCATATGAATAAACAAAATAAACATCACCAAGAAGGTACACATGAGGTTAACAGTGGTTTTGGTGAGGCTAGAGTTCATCCTAATGTAATTATTGATTTTTTATTGAACTAAAAATTCCCCCAAAATATTAAAAAGTATTTAATTAATATAATAACTATTGTGGTGTAACCAGGAGGGTGTGAATGATGTGTACAGTGATTTTGGTGGGGCTACAGTTAGTTATTGATAATTAATGTAGTTATTGATAATTATATGCTTATAACAACAATGAAAAAAGCTAATAAAATAGAGTGTGGCCTATCTTCCCAAAGTAAGAGTTGTAGTATGAGCTAGATGAGGTTTTCTACGTGTGCTACAAGTTTGGTGACACCACAATGATCTATAATGTAGATTGTGTTCTTTGATCAGATTCAACTTAAGTTTCTTTTTTTTAATTTTTATGCTTTGTTCAATCTTTCAGGTTTAAACCAACCATCGTAAAGGAATATATCCATGAAATTCTGAGGGAGCGTCTATCAGGGGTGCTGTACGACCCAGAGAGTGTCCCAGAGCTGACCCGTTCACTGGCAGAGGCTGTTAAGGACAAAGTGAAGAGTTAGTGCTGCTTTAGTTCCCCTTTGGTTTTACTCAAAAAATATCTAACCTAAAAATATCTAACCTAACAAAGCAAAATGTGACCAAGTTTCATTTGAGTTTGCAGAACTTTAGTAAGATTGGACATTTCTGACATCTCGACAGTGTTTAAAAAAACACAAGCAAAATAAGCTGAATACAATTTAAACCAAAGACCTCATGTTTTTATTTTAAACATTTAGCTAACATAATAGAACCAGACGCATTTGATGTGGTAAAGAATCTGTCATTAAAAAGAAAATTAATGATACATATTAAAAGTATGATTGTGCAGTGTTGTTGCATGAATAAAACATGTCTCTGCAGATCCTTTCATTTTATTTTATTTATGATTGACACCTTATAAAATGCCTTTTGCTTTGTGTTGTTCCCAGATGCAGGATTTGACAAATACAAGCTCATAGTCCAGGTGATCATTGGAGAACAGCGAGGACAAGGAGTCAAGTAAGTTGTAACTGATACTCAGTCCGGATGGCATGGCCAAAACTTATATCACGATATATTGCTTCATTAGGGCTGATATGATGAGAATATTAAAGTCGTAGGGAAGCGGCTGTTCCAACTGTTGTATTTCTCTTGAGTGGTCTAAGACTTTACACGGTGAATAAAGTGAATGTGATTGGTCGTTTATCAAGGGGGCGGGATTGTTGTGGCGTAAGGTTCCCAAGCAGGTCTGGTTGTGGCCGGTTTGTCGTAACGCTAAATTGCTAACCAGTTAGCAACTTAGCGTTAGCAGGTTCCCAATGGGAAATTCCATTGGGACTAAGTAGCACTAAATTGGTGACTTAGAAACGACACTGTCAAGGAACGCTATGGACAGAGCAAACATGCTAGAGGAGGAGAGTTTTTTTTGTTGGAGGTCGTGGAAGAGTCTCATCAGTCATACATTTTTTATTTAGAGGAAAGTAGGGAAGAAGATGTTGTGGAAGAGGACGCCAGGGCGGCAGAAGCTTGGTTTGGTGTAGAAGGCTTCCAGCCGTACATGTTTGAGCCCTTGCCTCGCAACGCTGCCAGTTCTATTAGCTCTACGCCTGCTGAAGACACAGACGTCCATCCCCATGAACACTGGGACGGAACTCAATGGGAAAGCGAATGATTCTTATTTCTTATTTCAGGCGTTGTGTATATTAGCTGCGACATATGATTCAAGATGCTATGGCTGAAAAAATTTGATTGACAGATGACCGTTGATATATGATTGGCCGAATTTAGGTGTACAGGCTGACGTATAACTAACTGGCCTGCATAAGATAATGGAAAAAAAAAACACACAGATTTAAAGGACAGGATTTAAAAGAAAAAATAGAAATGTTCTAATTTTTGGGACAATATCGTCCGATAAAGAGTACATACATGTTCAAGCCAGAATGATTTGACATTTAAGTATGACTACCCTATGAAAACATGAAAAACTGTGCATTTACATAAAGTTAATTCACAGCCACCATGGCCCTGATACATTCAGACATTTATTGTTTTTCTGACAGGGAACAGAACTTGTCTTTGGTCGAAAATTTCTTCAGAAAATTGATCATTAACGATCTATGACTTTAAGAAAAAAAAAAAAACTCAGAAAGATGATAAAGGCTACCCGAAATAGATTCCTGTATGTATTTATCAGGGTTCTCACTATAATTGTTTGTGTGAGTTTTCTGTGTTACACCTTTATTTTATCTCTTTGCTAACTAAGCCTTCAGGCTTAGTCAATGAAAGAGTCTGAAGGATGCAGGGTTCACATTTTCACAGCACTTTTCTCACATATTGAAGTATTGTTCCCACCAAACAGTTCATTAGAATAGTGTGGGCTGTTCTTGAAGCATCATTTTGTAACTTCTGAAAACCCTTGAATCTTAAGAAATGTTTAGAGCAATCTGATGTGAGCTATAAATGCCCTTTCTACAAAAAGCCCTGAACAAAAATGAAAGATTGTGTTCGTATAAAGTGCATGTCAAGAACTTTGAAGGTGCATCAAAAAAAGGCAGCATCTGACAGAATATTTTTTGGTTGTAAAACTGTTTCTCTTCATTTCAGAATGATGTATGATCAGAAAAATGTGTAAAACATGTTTTGCACCGTTAAAAATACAGCCTCAGAGGAACAGACACATTGAAGGATCACTTTGTTTTCCTCAAAGAGCACTAAATGGAAAAAAAGGACAGGATTTATGTATGCGTAGTGGAGGTCATGAACCGTTCACCTGAATGAAACAAAAACACACCAATAATCCCAGTGTTTGACAGACTGCGAAACATTTTTATATTTCCTGGATTTTAGTCTGACAATCTTCATATGACAATGTTAGTTTATTATGATCAAAACATTTTATCGTCATTGAAACTTTTTTTTTTTTAGCATAAAATATTTAATATTATATTTTTTAATACTTTGTAATTCTGGGAAATGTTGAATTAAATAAATTGTTTCTCATATAATTTCCACTTTCATTTCATAGTGTAATATTTCATATTTCATCATATTACAGCCCAAAAAAATCCTGTGTTTTAATATTACAGTGCATAATTCTCAAAGACATAAATGCACACACAATTTATCATGGAGGGAGAAAAATATTTTATGAAGACAAAGAATTTAGAAAATTAAGCTCACAGTTCTGTATTTGTCACCAAGGGAGACACCAAGCATATGGAAGAAGTTTTACTGTTCATAGAACAAACTCATTGCTCCTGATCCTTAAAGACTGCATGTGTCATTTTATTACTTTATTTATTTGTTATGAGTAATAAATGGGCATGTTGCAGGTCATTTACAAAGAGCGCTGCACAACATTTTTATTTTAATTGATGCAAAATGTTCTATCAGGAGAAAAATGTTTTTATAAAATGTCATTTATGTGTATTGAATGCAATTTTTTTTTTCTAGGATGTCTTCCAAGTGTTTGTGGGATGCTGACACGGACAACTATGCAGCAGATGTGTTCATGAATGTAAGCACTCAGAAATAAAGCATAATTTCTTTAAGGATGTTTGTCTGATTTTAAAATCACTTTGTTTTCACTTCTTAGGAGAGCTTGTTTTGTTTGGTGGCAGTTTTTGGAAGCTATTACTACTGAAGATGTGAAGAATTGATTATTTGAAGTCGTTTGACATGAAGTTTTGGAGGAACATTTAAGAGACTGCACACTGTCAGCATTTCAGCCTCTGGAGTCTACAAAATGTATTTTTTGTATCGTTTTGAATTATATGATTATTACTTTTCCTGCAAAGGGCCTTTGCAAATGTAGTGATTAAATAACTATTGTTGCTGTAATGTCACTGACTGAAGCTTTTTATATTCTCTGTTGTGCCAGTCATGGCTGAGGTTTAGAGGGTGGTGTTAGTGTGAGGGAAAGATGAGATGTTATAAATATCTTTATCAAAGCTTAATTTTAGATTATCCCTTAATAATAATAATAATATTGAATTGTATTTGTAACGCACTTTACATTTGAATTCAAATCTCAAAGTGCTACATTTAAAAAAAGGGAAAATTAAAAAAAGATTAAAAGACCATAACATTAAAAACAGAGTAAAAAGACAATCATTAAAATCAATACATTCGAAGGCATACGTAGCCTATAAAAAAATCTAAAAATCAGCAATTGTAGGCTGATTCCCTTCCACACTCTGGAATGAGTGTGTTCTGCTGCAGTGTTTGTTTCTATATTATTTTCAGATATAGAAAAGCAGTCCAGAGCAATAGAAGACAGTGTGTTAAATTCATTTGCATTCAAATGAGTGGTTGAATTGAGACAGAAGTGACAATATGGGTCAATATGAATTTAGTGCAGTCAGCTTCAAGACAAGAATAGTTGATAAACATCACCGCTTGTAATTATATAAAAGGAACAAAACATTTTAATTATATCCAAAGTGAAATTATATCGATGAAAGATAGAAGCGATCATTTTCTAGACCCACAGCCATGACATGTAATTATTTTAATGCTTGATTAAAAAAATTATTTTCTTTCTAAAAAAATAATACAAATTTAATTATTGTTTACCTTTTGATGCTGCTTTGGCCACATCAACAGTACAGATAGTTGTTCTCTAATTTAGTGACTGGTGGACCTCCAACATCTATATACAGCCAAGTTTTTCATTAAAAACCACTAAAGGTTTGCTCCATGTGTAAATTCCTTGACACTCTTACAGTACTTAACACAATTGGAAAATTAATTTTTGCATTCTTTTGCAGCCGTATATTAAGTTAGTTTTCTTTTTTTTCCCAGCGAAGTCTGGGTGAAGTCAGAAGGTCCAGGGAACTTAAACATTAAATCATCGAATTCAAAAAAGTAAACTAGAAAAAGAAAGTCAGATTAAACCAAAAAATATGCAGTGGAGAAAAGCTGCAATGACAGAAAATGGAGAGCAGCAAAGTGGAAACATGTTGCAAATAAAAAAATCCACCGCAAATACATAAATTATGATAACATGCAAATGAATAAACAAACACTGCAAGTAGCAAAAACAACTGCAAGTTCAGAAAAGCTGCAAACTGGTCCTAAAGAATGGAAGTGCTCCCCACCACTAGAGGGAGACAGTTATCTCATATGGAACCAGAACCTCTTGTGGTATGTTTGATCTTGTGGTGCAGTTTTCATTAAAGGGGTGATCAAGAAAGCAATTTGTCCAAATAAAGGTTAAAATCTTTTATTAGCAATAGAAAATCATTACTGCATATTAAGTAACCAGCAACCAGACTTTTGCTCAGTTTTTCTGAAGATGTTTGATGATGTTTCGACGCATATCCAGGGGTGTTTGTCATTTCTGTTTGTTTGCACCAGAGCTACAGTATCAGTTGTTGGAGCTCAGATGTATTTATGCAGTATGGAGGTCCATCACAAGCACATTCCTAGTACGATATGAAGAATTGATTTTCCTCTGATTTAAGCCTGTTTAGTGGAAATGCTAAGTAGGGATGTGAATGTCTTAAAATGTGCAAACCCTGGTGTAACCGTGCTGCTTCCTGTTTTGTTGAATCAAGGCAACAAAAAAAATCTGTGTTGCAGGGAAGCAGAGATGGACACTTTCACCCCTATGTCTCTTTTCTGACTCTTTTGGTATCCTTTTTTGTAATAAACATGCCACGATATTTAAATTCAAGTGTTTTTTTTGTTTGTTTTTTATTGGTTTTATTGTATAACTATTATCTTTTATCTGGCTGCATTAATTTTTGTCCAATTGAAAATATATTATTTTATATTATTCTACTATTACTCTGGGGTATTTTTTTACTGTCTAAATATGTTACATGTTCCCAAAATATGGCTTTTTACTTATGCCTTATTTGTGGCAAAATGAGGGCAGATAGTTTCCCATATCAAAAATCCAAAAAGTAAATGGTAAACATTTCCGATTGCATATCCTGGCCATAGGGGGCCTGATGCCTGGACCCCATGAGTGGAATTGATGTTTGTGGGTTAGGGGTCAAGTTTAGGCGTAAGGCCTGAATTGAGTTTAGGTTTGGTTAGGGTTAGGTATGAACCAGTCAAGTTTAGGTTTAGGTTTAGGGTTACCTGGAAGGCGCTACAGGCAAATGAGGATCAGGACAAACAGACTCAAAAACAGTTTTTTCCCCCAAGCCATTGCCGCCCTCAACTCCGACCTGCACTGACGGACACTTTTCACCTGTTTTGCATTATTCCCCACCCCACAATCTGTGCCAGTACTGTTTACATTTCCTTTCCTTTTAATATGGTAAATGGTAAATGGCATGTACTTATATAGCGCCTTTATTCAAGTTAGGAGACTTGACCAAAGCGCTTTACACTGCATTCATTCACCCATTCACACACACACTCACACACTGATGGTGGCAAGCTACATTGTTTTGATTTTTATTTTTTCACGGTAGCTGAAATGGAAGTCCCAAAAATCTCATTGTATCCGTTGTAGAATATGATGACAATAAAGGCTTTTTTTTAAAAACTTTTTTTAGGGTTAGGGTTATGGTTACACTGCAGAAATGAAAGGTAAGTTAATGGAAAGTCACTGCAAAAAATAGTAAGACAAGTTAGTGTGTGTGCGTGCATATTCTACAACTCTCAAATCTGATTTCCTTCTGAAGTTTTCGGAGGTTTTTTTTTTCTGTCAGGGCAAAACTCAGTTTTAAAATATAACTGAACAAAAGTTAAGGTATTCAATGCCTGTAGAGAACAAGTATTTTAATCACGCCAGTCTAAATTCAAACCCCCTTGTTCCGTAGGGTAGACACGTCAAAGGAGATAGATAGCAATGCATAAATTCTGATCGATGTGATAGGCATTAAAGCTTCAAGGTAAAAGTTTGACACTAAATCCCGGACAGTACGCCTTGGCATAAAGATAAGGTGCAGCACATAGAACCTGTCTTTGCCGTGTCACGTGTATGTTAATTTTTTATTGAGATTCCCTATGGTAAAAATTATGATGTTATGAGTAATGAGCATTTAGTCCACAACATCTACAAGTTCCTGCAGTAAGGGACACCCCATTTCTGAAGCTTTTCTTGTGTCTGGTTTCAGCTGAAATTTGCGACAAACTGAGGATAACTTCAAGAAATCCTGCTATCAAAAAGAATTAGGCTCACAGAGAAACTTGCAGTATAAACATGATTTTTGATAATGGCTATTCAGCTTTCTGGAACTGAAATACAAAAAGTATTAACTCTAAACAAATAGTTTTTATATACCATCTGGTGTCTGTTTATTTCTAGCTTTAAACACCATTTGTGAGGTTTGAACTTCTACCAGATCAGACATTTTAAGCAAGCAGGACTGAATGATTAATAGATTAGTATGGTCATGATAGCCAGATTTATGATAAATATCAAAATCTCCTCAATACAACGTGGGCTACATTAATAATTGGCAGTACTTTTGGGGAAAGTCTGGTCTGATTCGGAGAGATGGCATCCATCCCACTTTGGATGGTGCAGCTCTTCTTTCTAGGAATCTGGCCAAATTTATTAGGGTGAAAACCAGGAAGCAGAGTCATAGTTTAACACACATCTCTGCAGCTTCTCTGCTTTTACCCACTCTTTACTCCATCCAGACATTGTCTTGCCTACGACCAAAATCTAATAAATTAGCAAAGATTCCTAAAGGAGTAAACCAATTAAATGTTGTCTGTTTACCATAAGATCTCTTTTCTCAAAAAGTCTGCTAGGTAATGACTTGATTTGTGATAATCACATTGATTTATGTTACCTTACAGAACCTTGGCTGCAGCAAGAGGATTATTTGAGCATAAATAAGGCAACTCCTTCTAGTTATTTAAATTTTCACGTACCCAGATGTTCTGGACGAGGAGGAGGAGTAGCAACAATCTTTCAGTCTGACTTACTGATTATTCCAATGGCAGTTAATAATTACAACTCTTTTGAACATTTAACCCTTAGTTTTCCTCATCCAAATTGCAAACCATGAAAACCTCTTCGTTTTGTAACTTTGTATCGTCCACCAGGTCCTTACTCTGAATTTTTATATACGTTTTCAGAGTTCCTTTCTGATTTGGTATTAAATACTGACAGGGTCATCCTAGTGGGGGATTTTAACATCCATGCTGACATTGAAGGTGATAGCTAAATAGCAGCCTTTAATGCTATCTTAGACACTATTGGCTTTGTTCAAAATATGAATGGTCCCACACATTCTCATCTTCATACTTTGGATCTTGTGCTGACATATGGCATAGAATTTGAAGAAATAAAGGTATTTCCTCACAGCCCTGTCCTCTCTGACCTTAAGGATTACTTTAACAGAGTTATCCTCCCCCAAAAGAAGGTTTCACTTTAGCAGATAGTGCAGTTATAAATTTTAAAGAATCTGTGTCACTTTCTCCTCTGTGTCGAGCAGAGCTGCGGAGTGTAAAAGCTTAGTTTATTCCTTTTCACAGGTTGATGATTTTGTTGATGGGATTACTAGTTCTCTGCATACTGCCTTAGACAACGCAGCCCCTTTGAAAATGAAAACCTTTAGAAATAGAATGCTGGCTCCTTGGTTTAATGCAGAGCTGTGCAGTTTCCTAGCCAAATTTTTCCTAGCAAAATGCTAGGAAACTGTCGAGAAAATCATGCTTCACAGACCTACGGAATCCTAGCTAGTCTGGAAAAATACTTTACTGCTGTATAGGAGGACCCTTTGCAAAGCAAGAGCAGCATAATTCTCCTCATTCATAGATGAGAATAAGAATAGTCCTAGATATGTTTTTCACACAGTTGCCATACTTACCCAGACCCATAGCTCAGTTGAACCGTCCATTCCACCTGCTCTTAGCAGTAATGATTTTATGG